GTGTTTATACAACCTCTAGCAGCGGCAGCCATCAGCGGTGTTATAGAAGTCTCAGAATGTTGATAATCCACAGAAACATTTTCTGAAAGTATAAAATGTAAGAGTTGCGCAAAATTATCTTCTCTGCCATTTACCCAAGCATCAAAAACACTCTTGTCCATTTCTTCTATCAACCAAGGTTCTAGCTTAACTTTTTCCGGTATAGGATCGCTCTGTTGAGCTAAAATCGGAGCGGGCAGCAGATTTTTTCGCTCTTGGTGTTTCTAGTAGGAACCTGCGGTTTATATTGTTTCCACGATTCTAAAGTTTTCTGTTTATCTTTACATTTTAAAAATTCTTTTTTCTTCATGAGCATTTCTTTTGTCATGTAACCGGTCATTTGCAAGATATCCTCCAGAAAATATACATCCACATCGTAAGCACGTCCTGGCACATTGATGACAGTACATTTATTAAAATACTTTGCAAAGATACTGGTATCCATTGTAGCACTCATAAGTATCAGTTTCAAGGAACGATATTTAACCAATGCGTCCTTTAAAGCTATCAGAAGAAAGTCGCAGAATCTGTCCCGTTCGTGAACTTCATCGACGATGATATGCGTGAGCGTAGTTAGAGCAGAATCGCCGCCCATTAAAGTTCTAAGTAGTACTCCATTTGTACAATATGTTAAGAGAGTCTTTGGAGCTACTCTACTTTCCAGTCTTATTTGATATCCGAATGTCTGGCCGATTTTCTCATCCCTCTCGAATGCCACTCTTTCAGCCACAGAGACAGCCGACAAACGTCTGGGTTGTGTACAAATAATTCTACAAGCCTGATGCTTTTGCTGACAGTGTTCCAAAATGTACTGTGGCACCTGTGTAGTTTTACCACACCCTGTTTCACCCGCGATTATAACCACTTGATGATTGTTCAATGCATTTATAACTTCTTCCCTCGCATTAAACATTGGTAAAGACTTGCGGAAATGCAACACATCAAAATTAGTTTTTAACTGAGGTACTTGTGGTATGCTATTATTCAGCCTTCCCATTGTTTTAGTGTTTGTATTTACTGTAACAAAAAGTATTCAAAATTAGAAGCTTAGTTTTTATATAAATTAATGATTATGTTAACATATGCTATATAATTTTCAATTATGAATAATTATATATAACTATACTTGTCATTTCTATTAATTTTTACATACCATCATTATTGAGAGGACGCTCCCTCTCTATCGGAGGAAGTAAGTCTTGGCATTCTTTGTGATTTAATGGAAAGGTCTGCATCAAATTATATATACTCTGCTTCGATGGTTTCCGTAATTTATCACAGCATCAGCTTGAACTATCGTTGATCCTTCTCTCTTGTACACCGTCAAGAATCGATTCATACCTTTCCTGCAAAATAAAAGACACAATTAAAATAACTCTATTAAAGAGGAGAGTAAAGAAACACAATTGCTACATTCAATAAATGTAATCATATACCCTCGGCTTTTTGATTTTAGACCAAGTTCTCTGGCTAGTTCATGGATGTAAGCTCTCTCTTCTGCTGTATACGAAGATGGAAACTCTAGTTCTTTTTGATCTGGAGTCTCCAATAACTTTTTTACAGTTAAATTCACCGCTATTCTGGTATCCTCCCCTATAGGGCGATGTCTTTGCTGCTTTCTACGTGGCATAGTGAAATCTGCTCAAATCACCTGTTATCAAAAAATCAATGTTGATTCTAGGTTAAGTAGTGTATTCTCTGCAACATATCCGAATAAAACAACTGGTTACGCACAGAATACATCAATATAAAATTGTTCTTATAATTAATATATCGAAATATTCAATCGATTGTATTGATATCTATATAATTCTATAACTGATACACAAAACGGATAGCAATTAAGGGACAAAAAATTCTACTTTGAAGATGAAGAAAGACGATCCCATTGAATGCAATCGTCAACAGTTTCTTCAAAGAAAAAAAACAAAAAAGAACGCGAACAATCTGCTTCCATTCTTATTTGGAGCATCGCAAGGTCATGAATTTCACTCCGATATAATTCGCTAATCTCAACAGTGTTGCGGAATGTACATACGTAAAATTATGCCGGGAGACACACTGACTGGATGCTAGATGCACGACGCACTCGTTCACCTTGCACGAGAGTGCATTTATCTTTAGGAAAAAATTCGAACGAATAAACGGTAGCGGGAAAAACAGGATCGGAAATAAATGTTGACTGCCAACGAAGCGCGATATTTATATATGTCTAACAATGATCGCCAGCTCCACCTGCGTTTCAAAGCGATATAAATTCGCACTCGCTTTGAAATGCTCTATGGATAAGATCGGCGTTATATAATATTCTAAATTATAATATACAATACAAATATACATAAATAAATAATGTACAAATCATATGTATTTTAGATACAAGAGGCGATTATAACGAAAAAAAAAGAGAGAAAACAAATTGCAATTTCAAGAAACCACATTTCTTCTATTCTTTACTTCTGTTACTTTATATTTATCTTTCCCTTTATTTATCTCGATTTTTTAAATTGTAAGTCTTACGATTAGGCTAGGATGATGAAAAAGCTGTTGTTCTCCGTCATCGTTTAAGGGATTTAAGTTTTCAAAGCGCGCGCGCGCAACGCAGTGACATGACGTCGCGCTGTCGCTGGCGCGGCGCGCATGCGCGTCGCACGTCCGCCGTTTGACAGCTCGATCGCGGCGGCGGTGGTGCGCGGTACGTGCGTACGCTCGCGCTCGTTTGCGCCGCGTTTTCTCATCTCCCACTGGCCGCGATCTTCGATCGTGGTTGAGACGACGCGCTCTAGAGAGACGAGGCAGTGACGGTGAGAAGCTACGAAGAGGTCCTCTCCTCCCCAGACAGCTGACGACGACGACGACAACGACGATTATGTCGGCGACGCCGCGACGCGGCTACGCTTCAACTCGCCGGCACTCGCGATGGTGCCTGGTGTCCGCGGCGCAACGGAATCAGTTGTGATGTGCCTAAAAGCGGACGCGGTCGCGCGATCGACGTGCGTGGAAATGACATATTCGTGCGTCTCTCTCGCGGAGTTTTTTTCTATAGTCGATTAAAAAAAAAGTACGGGAAGAAATATTAATTCCTAGATAAGAGAGGGAGAGAACTCGCGAGGGGCGAGTTCTCGAGGAGAACGAGAAGAGAGGAGAGAACCATCGCGAGTTCCTCCTTCTTCCGTTCCTGTGGGAGAGTGATCCGCGAAGAAGTTGCGCGAGAAGAACGAAAGGCGACCGGCCGATCGATGTGTTATTTGTGATGGGAGTGCCTGCGCGGGGAGCACTCGCGGCGATCGTGGCTGTAACCGCGCTCGCCGTGTACCTCAACAGCCTCGGATGCGGTTTCGTCTTCGACGATATCTCGGCGATCAAGGACAACCGCGACCTCAGGCCCCATACGCCCCTCAAGAATGTCTTCTACAACGACTTCTGGGTACCCCGATGCACAAGGTGCGAGAGAGAGAGGGGAGAGAGAGAGAGAGAGAGTGGGTATGTGTGTATGTGTGAGAGAGAGAGAGAGAGAGAGTGAGAAAACGAGGAGGCATCGTCCGGCCTCGGAGGACGCGCGTTCGAGATTCTCCCCTCCCCTCTTCATCATCCCTATAGATGGCTCCCTGCGTATTGATCCGCGAGCGTCCTGTCCATTTCATCCCGATCCGATCCCCCGTTCTCTATACCTTTCGTTTCCCTCATCCCCTCGCATACGTTTTGTCTGACATGGATCAAAATCGGTACAGCGTAGCTGAATTCCGGATGCTATCGATATGCGAAAATAATCCCTACAATTATTTTTAACATTGCAATTTTTGCTATATTTCTAAAACATCTATAAATGAGATCGCCGAAATTTTATTGATTTCAGAAAATCGAAATCAATAAAATTTATAAAAATTTAGATTTTGATGCTCCTATTCTCTTCATAGGTAATTTTTGTTTATCGTTTGTAAAAAACATGATGAATTGGAGCACAATATATTTTTTCACATATATATATATATATATATTATATATAATTATTATCTTCATAATTATGTCGATTTTAATAAGCCAAAAAAACTGCAAAATTCTTATGTAGAACATTGTCTTTATTGATTTGTTTTAAACCTGTTCATTTTTATCGCATTTTTTCTTATATATATTTTTTTCCTATACATTTTTTATTTCTTCAATTTTAGTTTATTATATATTGATTTTATTATATAGTAAATATAGAAGACATGAAAAAATGCAGCTTTAATGAAGATTTGTTTGCTGTCGCGTTATTTTTAAATTTGTCAGCTTGATAAATTTTCTAATATTAAACTTTCTACACATCAACATAGCCATTTTATATGAATTAATAGCAATATTTAACTAGTTTAATTGGAAAAATATTTTAACATTAATAATACTATACAAAATAAAAATTGAAGGAGATATATCCATTAAAACATGCAATTTATATTCTTATCTTATTAATGTGTTACTACTTAATTATCTTATAATTTTTCAGTTTTTTTATGAGAAAGATGCATAGTAAATACTTAATTGTATAGTATATTTAATTTAGTAAAGGCAATGAAAATATGATATGCATTTATTAAATTGCATAGTTATTTTAAACATAAGAATTTTGAACTCAAAAATATATAATATACATCATTTTTAAATATTATTTAAAGTCATTTATAATATATAGAAAAAAATCTTTTTTTGCTTATATGTCTTAAGTTTATCTATTAATAGTAATTGTATACTTTATTTACTCAATTAATCAATTATCAATTTTTTTAATAGGAACAGTCGCACAAATCTTATAGACCACTTTGCGTTCTCACCTTTCGATGGAATTACCTGATTCATCAACTAGATCCTATGGGATATCACTTGCTAAATGTTATTCTACATGTTGGAGTATGTCTATTATATTTCAGGTTTGTTGACATCACTTTTACTATATTTTATATTTCTTCCTGCAATACAGAATTATAGAAAATTACTTAGTACTTTAATTTAGAATATAAAATATAGAATAGTCTTTTATGAATTTCGCATTAGAGACAAAAAAGAAAATTATGTGTAAAAATTGTTCACAGGACCTGTTTGATGTTTCTACCAGATGCAGCAAGTTTTGTGTCATCTTTATTTTTTGCTGTACATCCTATACACACAGAAGCAGTATGTAATGCCAAAAAGACTTATTGTTTTAATTATTATTAGCCTGCAAAAAAATAATGTCATTTATTAAAATATAACTATAATTATGTTCCTAGGTCACAGGAGTAGTTGGTAGGGCAGAAACTTTGTCCTCCTTATTTTACCTGGCAGCTTTAATCACATATACTAAATGTTGCAAAAGCAAAAGATCTACAGGTAATTACTTGAGTCCTAATGCAAATGATTTACATTTTATATTGTGTAACATTATATTACATTCATATATATTTTACAGGGTGGAAATCCTTAATGTTATCTATGTTTTTGTATTTACTGCAATGTTATGCAAAGAACAGGGAATTACGGCCACAGCAGTTTGTGTATTGTATGAAATTTTTGTTGTACAAAAGGTAAAATATCTCTTTTCAATGTTACACATTTATTATATCAAGTATGTCAAAGTTATACTAACAATATTTGTAATTTTACTTAGGTTAGAGCAAGGGATATTTTCTTAGCACTAAAGTCAGCTTTTGGTGGTAATAAAATTTCACCTGCATGGTCAGGCGAGGGTACAAAACGTTTGACCGCCCTTACACTTGTTACATTTAGCCTGCTTATCCTACGGTTACATATAATGGGCTCAAAGTTACCTGTATTTACCAGGTATTGCTGCTGTGTATATGAATGTAATTGTAAGTGACTTTATTTACATACTATAATTAATATGTATATATCTTTTAGATTTGACAATCCTGCATCAGTTGCTGTAACACCAACAAGACAGCTTACATATAATTATCTTGCTGCAGTGAATCTAAGACTGCTATTTCTTCCAAGTGATTTGTGCTGTGATTGGACAATGGGAACGATACCATTAGTAGAAAGCTTTACCGATGTTCGTAATCTCGCAACTTTAGGTACTCATGGAACTGTGCTAGGATTGCTTGTGACAGCTGTTGTAACACGTAGCAGACAAACATCAGTTATTCTCATTATGGTTAGTAAAGATACTCATTGCAGAATTAGATATAATAGAGAATTTAAGTCATTGAATAATGATGTGTGTTTGTTGGAATAAGGAAAATATGTGATAATCACGCATGCTCTAGAAATTTTGTATATGTGTGGATCTTTTATAATTAACAATACTAATAGCTAATGAGTATGTTGTGTTTCCAAAATAATGCCTGCAGAGTTTGGCTATGATGATACTCCCTTTTTTACCTGCGTCAAATCTTTTCTTCCCGGTCGGATTTGTAATTGCTGAAAGAGTGTTGTACGCACCATCTATGGGATTTTGCATGCTTATTGGATATGGATGGAGCATCTTAGCAGACAAGAAGTAAGTTGACTCGTCTGTGACCTGTAATTCGATTTGTATGAATTATTTTTATAAATTGTAGAGAACAAATATTTTATTATATGTATATCATTTTTTAGATGCAAGAAGCTGGTGCTATTTTTACTTATAACGCTTCTGGCGGCGCATACGACGAAAACATTTGTTAGAAATTACGACTGGTTAGATGAATATTCGATATTCATGTCCGGCTTGAAAGTGAACGATAGGAATGCCAAATTATTTAATAACGTGGGTCATGCGTTGGAAAGCCAAGGTCGTTTTAAAGAAGCATTAAATTTTTTTAATATGGCTGTACAAGTTCAAGGCGATGACATCGGAGCACACATTAATGTCGGACGAACTTACAATCATCTGAAAATGTTTAAAGAAGCTGAAGATGCATATTTAAAAGTAATTAATATCACTGAATCTATTCAAACTTATTTAATTTTTTTCAATGTAACTTGTATTCTCATTTTTTTTGTTTTTTCTAGGCCAAGTCGTTATTACCGAAAGCGAAACCAGGAGAATCTTACCAAGCGCGTATAGCACCAAATCATTTAAATGTGTTTGTTAATTTAGCTAACTTGATAGCTAAGAACGCAACTAGATTAGAAGAGGCTGATTTGTTATACAGACAGGCGATCAGTATGCGTGCGGATTATACTCAAGCATATATTAATCGCGGCGATGTTTTAATTAAACTTAATCGTACAAAGGAAGCTCAAGAAGTTTACGAGCGAGCACTATTTTATGACAGTAATAATCCTGATATCTATTATAATGTAAGTATTGAATGGTTAAAACAGATATATACTCACATGAAGAAATACATTATGACATTATACACACACACACACACACACACACACATATATATATATACTTCTAAAAATGCTAAATCAGACCTTGATATTATAAAAAAAAATCAAGCTATATATATATATATATATATATATATAAATAATTGAACTTTCACAGCTTGGTGTTGTATTCTTGGAACAAGGAAAAGCATCCCAAGCTTTGGCATACTTGGATAAAGCTTTAGAATTTGATCCAGAGCATGAACAAGCATTACTGAACTCTGCTATACTGCTCCAAGAATTGGGACGAGCAGAGTTACGTAAAGTAGCTAGAGAGAGACTTCTGAAGCTCTTACGGAAGGTAATCAGTTGTTTTTCTTTTCAATTGTTTATAAAACTATAATTATATCATTAACACGAACTTCTTATCCATTACCTAATTACAGGATTCCAATAACGAACGCGTACATTTTAATTTGGGAATGTTGGCCATGGATGATCACGATAGTGGTAGCGCGGAACGTTGGTTCCGCAATGCCGTTGCATTGAAAGAAGACTTTCGTTCTGCGTTATTCAATCTCGCATTACTATTGGCAGACGAGCAGCGTCCACTCGAAGCTGCACCGTTTCTGAATCAACTGGTCAGATTCCATCCAGATCATGTGAAAGGCCTAATCCTTTTGGGAGACATTTATATCAATAATATAAAAGATCTAGATGCTGCGGAAAATGTAAGATATTACGCGCAACTTTAAAAATTTTTTGTTAAAATTTGCACAATATACAGAGATTTAAATATCATATAAACAATAATAAAATTGTTTCGATAATTTCATTAACGTGTTAACATTATTATTTCAGTGTTACCGCAGAATACTGCAACTGGATCCTACCAATATTCAAGGATTGCACAATTTATGCGTCGTGATGGTGGAGCGTGGTAAATTGGGTTTAGCAGCGCAGTGCCTGGAACACGCAGCCGCTCTAGCACCACATCAGGATTACGTGCATAGACACCTTTCGATTGTGAGAACCCGTATAAATCGTTTACCACCGGAACAGCGCGACACCGACGTCTTCGACGATTCCTTTTGGAGCAGTTACGTGAAGGACAGACCCTTCAATACCGTCGAGCCGTCAAGCGGACAATTTATAGGAAAGACCGAGTCCGTTTTCGCGAATCACGCGACAGTTCACAATCACATAGGAAGTAAGCAGAGCAATACCAATTCCTTGAATAATCACATTATACATTTGAAGGGTCCATCAAAACCTGCCCGAGCGATGAGCGCTGCCAGTACAACGGAAACGAAAGATGGACAGAGTCCCAAACAAACGACGGTCCCTGAACTGAATATCGTGGAACCTACCACGGACAGGGTTTTCGATAGGGTTATAAGCGCTGATATAACAAAGCTAGATATCACGCAGAAACACAGTTCGAAACATGCGACGTCCGACCAGTTCAATCAGAGTGCCGCCGCGACGATCAGCGGCAAGCAAGGAATTCAGCAGACAAAGGACAGCGCGTTGTCATAGTATTAATGTAAAATCCGCCGAATACTGTAAAGTTATATGCGTATAACGAAAAGTTATGGTGGTACAGTCATATAGAGCTAATGTGTGAATATAAAATAAATACAGAGTATTGTTTTATATGCTGTATAAAAATAGGACATTTTATAAAATATATTTAAAAGAATTGTGTATTTTTTCATCTTTTACTCGTACGTATCTCCTCTCTTTCCCTTCAATTCCCGTACTTTTAAACGAGAAACTAATGTAAATAACAATATCACTCCTTTGTTATATAATTATAATATTCGTAATCTATAATATATTTTCAAAAAAGTCCTATCTTTGTTAATATTAATCTTAAATTTGACGAAGATTTCTTTGTAAAAGACAATTAATAACGTGTTTCAGGTACATTATTGCTTTATAGATACAGAAAAATTTATATGTCAACGATATTACGGTAAAAATCAAATCTCAATCATCGATTCGATATATTTTAGTATCCGCGATAGACACGCGTAGATAATATATTTATCACTTTTTCAAGTATAACTTGTTCAAAAGGTCGTCGTCCGATCGCCAATTTAGTCCATGCATTACCTGCAACTTATTATCGATTGCAGCACGAAAGCAAGCCGTTGCGGGTTGTAAAGTAGCAAAGTAATGAATCAAGCTGGCTTTCATGTTCATCGGATGCCAGACTGTTGAAACATCATACAGCATGCATGTGAAAGTTACAAGACTTTTACCCTATCACGCCCCACACCCACGAACAAAACGTATTAACGCGTTGGTGTGTGTATGTAATGTAAAAAAGCACCGTCTGATAAATATGGAAATGAAAACACGAAGTTTACAATATATAGGGTGCCTGCGATTTTATTCCTCATTTTATTTCCATCTACGCCAGACATATTAATACAAAATTGCATTAATTATTCTATTTTTCTTTCTTTCTTTCTTTTATAAATATATCACACATTAAGTGTATTATTCTTATATCTTTAAAGCAGTTTTAATTTCATACATTATAGTTTTCAAAAGTATTTTCTTTTTTAATATTTATTTTGTATCTGAAATGGCAGCTTTATTTTAGAAAATTTTTTAAAATATATATCGCAAGTTAAAATATATTTTCATAAAGGATATTTTCCCAAACAGATTTATAATATTGATAAAAAAGAGATTTGCAAAAACATTTAGAGAATTTATTCATGTAAAATCAAATCTGAGCAGGGGAAATTATTATATATAGGGTGAATTATTTTTGTTATAGTTAAAAATAATTTTATGCAACATTTTGAAAATTCTTATCCAATTTTTAGAGAACATTTAGAGAATTTATTCATGTAAAATCAAACCTGAGCAGGGGAAATTATTATATATAAGGTGAATTATTTTTGTCATAGTTAAAAATAATTTTATGCAACATTTTAAAAATTCTTATCCAATTTTTAGACTGTATAATTAACGAAATAATGCGACCATACATTTGGAATGGCAGCTTTATTTCAGAAAATTTTTAAAAATATTATATTGCAAGTTGAAATATATTTCATAAAGGATATTTTCCCGAAAAGAGAGAGAGAGAGAGAGAGAGAGAGAGAGAGAGAGAGAGAGAGAGAGATTGCCAATACTGTTAAAAAAGAGATGTGCAAAACATTTAGAGAATTTATTCCAAATTAAATCTGAGCAAGGGGGTGAATGATTTTTGTTATAATTAAGAATACCCAGATAGCACAAGGTACTCGAAAAGAATTCATTTGTATGTCACCAATTTTGAGTCCTTTTTCAAATACATATAGAATTTTATGCAAAATTCTAAAAATTCCAATTTCTAGATTGTATAATTAACGGAAGAATGCGACCAAAGTATTATTTTATCTTGGTCGAATTATCGCTCGTTTGTATATAAACACTAATATTCTATCGAAGACATGATGTTTGTTGTTCCGAGCGTGATTTACATCGTCGAACTCTCTAAATGGACCTTCAATTATTAGAATCTATATTAGGAATAGCTAAATTAGATTAGATTCTGTATGTTGCCTGCAAAATCCGGCGAACTGGACGTGAAGGTTAACGCGTTAATCGACCTCGAGACGACCGCTTGCTGGACCGACTTCGCGGCGCGACGCGCAGGAAGCCCGAAGACGCTCTTTGACCCATTATAGCTCGCAGGATCCTGTTCTAATCGAAAACAATGTCCTTGGTAAGTCACGCCGGCTCAGCCCGAGCGTCTGTAAAAGCGACGCCAATGTTCCACTTAAAATTTCCATTTCGGATAAGCGCTGTTTTGGGGATGATCGAAAAGTTTCCGATCTAACGATTTCATGAAAAATATCTTATTTTTAACATCTCAATTTATATTTAGGACAATAATGAATTCAATCTTTAGAACAGAGTATATCCTCCCTCTCGCCATGATGATGCAGGGCTCTAAAAGACATTTTAATAAGAAGCATCTAAATAATGTCGATCTGTATATCATAAAATAGCTGTATATTTTATAAAGAAAAATTAATTATTAAATATTTAAATCCATAAAAGAGTTCACCATAAAAAATTGAACCGTATTTTTAAAACAAAATTGCAGAAAATATATACATATATATTTCCCTTAGAAATTATCTAAAAATTTATTTAACCTTCATCAAGATATTATCATGAAATATTAGATTTCTAAATTCAGATATCAAG